CCCCCCCCCCCCCCCCCCCCCCCCCCCCCCCCCCCCCCCCCCCCCCCCCCCCGGTTTTCCCCCCCCCCCCCCGCCATTGCCTTGCCTCAGCACAAAACAGTGATATAAAAAGAGACAGACCTTCGACCACACAGTCATGGCCAACTTGACTTTTTTGACTCCACGCCTGATTTCCAGCACAGGACGCAAGAGCATAAGGTTGTTTCTATCTTGATGAGATCAAGATCGTATAATCAAGCGGGAAGCTTCAGGCTGATAGCACAAGTTGGAAATGACCCCAGTCCACCATGTGCCTTTGGGCTAGAAAGTCCAGGAAAGAGAAAGCATGCAGGATTGCATGAGTAAACTTCTGCCTGTCGTATCCTGTAGCTTTATATATGCATTTGTATGCCTGCTTTAATTTCATTTAAATTCATAACTTTTGTGCACCTTCTGGCAGAAGATATCCATCAGACATTTCATGATTCCCAAATTATCACTGAAGCACATGTGGCCAGAGATGGGGCAAGAAGGAGGTTCATTTGGTTATGTTTATAAGGGTGATTTTTTTTCCTCCCCTCCAATCTAGGCCAAATCTAATCAAAATCAACCACCCTAAATTTCAGAAGGTCTAGCATGCTGGTTGTACCTAGGGGAACTTGGCTGATTGGAAAAGGGAGGGGGGGAAATCAGTTAGCACCTGGATGGGAGACCACGAGGAAACCCTGAAGATGGCAGGCTAGATTGGGAAGTTGAAAAAAGAAATCAAACCACTTTCCTGGGCTTGCCAGGGAAACTACATGGCCTTGAGGTCACCAGGAGTTGAGCTAGAGTTTTTACGTCCTCAAAATTTCTAAGTGCTTAATTTTTTCACAAAAATTGCCCAAGGCAAACTTATCCTCTCTCCGGGGGGATGCACGCGTGTTGCATTTCCTCGCGTGTAAGCGAGCCGAGCCATCGCAAGTTCCCACGCCTGAGCCTCAGCTTGGAGCGCTGCGCCGTTTGACGCGCGCCGGGGATTCGTTGCGATTCCCTTGAAAAAGTCGAACTTCCTTCCATGCACGGAGGAAGGGTCGGCCTCGCTCCCGCTGGGTCCGCCCGGGGGCCCCCTGGCGCTGAGCCCGACCGGGAGGGCCAGGCGGGCTCAGCGGAGTGCAGGGCTG